ATAGACTAAGTGCCATACATGAGTGTAGCACTATACCATTCCGCTGCTGCACCGGTACAGTTGGAACTGCTGACTCTCATGAGTCTCATCTATATATACAGACTAAGTCCCATAGAATTTCCCCCACAGCAAACGCAATCTTTTGACCTTCGAGTCTCGACTACATCTATAGACAAAGTGCCATACAGGAGTGTAGCAGTACACCATTCAGCTGCTAGGCCGTTACAGTTGGGACTTTTGACTCTCGCGTCTATACATACAGACTAAGTCCCATAGAATTTGCCCCGGAGTAAAGGCAATCTCACCTGAGGCTGCTCTATTGCAAACTGAACCATATCCTCTGGGTTGACCTCCAATGGATCATAACCAAGCTTGGCCTTCGTCACTGCCTGCCATCCATGGAAATGGCAGAAGAAGACAAGGATAGGAGTCAGAAACAGGGAGGAGGACTTCATAGGACACAAAACAGAAACTAATTCAAAAATTCAAAATTCATTGCAGCAGTCCTTCTGGACATCTGTTAAAATTGGAACGATAAAAAAAAAAAAAGGCAGAATCGTTTCCTACTCGGATGAATTCGGGCGCTCCATTCCAGGCTCGTTCATCTGAGTGCGGCTGGGCGGTGTATGCGCCGCAGCGTTCGGGGGTACCGATGGTTTAAGAAGCAAAAGAAGGAGAATCACATGAAGGGAAACGTTTCGCTCTGTGCTCTTGCTTATTGTATTGCAGAGGGCATGGTCAGGCGGCAGTCATGACGGGTGTGCCACTGATGATTGCCTGTATGGTCATGAGTCCTGAAGCATTAATCTTATGATGGCTCAACTGAAGTTGACTTTGATGATGATCGTCGTGTGTAGACGGAAGAGTCGAATTTTGCTGCAGGAAGAGATGTCTGGTGGCATGAGGCTGTAAACAAGCTTAGTCCCGAATGCGAGGTATGTAGTATGCTCTTTGCCCTTCTAAGGTTTCTAATAAAAAGATTGGCATGGCCCCTGCGCAAGCATGATAAGCATAAAAAGAGAAATGGTCCCAAAAGAAAATTCAAAATTCATTGCAGCAGAAAGCAGAAGATGAGCACAAATTCAGAAAAAAAAACACCACGACTCCAACCACCATCATAACCTTGGGGGGCTGAGGAGAAGAAGAGAGGTGCCTTTAGAGCACCACCACATTTCCGCCTGTTGGGAAAACAGGAAAAGCACGCTACTCCTAAAAAACTGGAGGGCGGGCCCAACGATGGCCGCCGTTGATAAATCTCATCAGTGGCCGTCATTTCGTTACGGCCTCCTAAAGATTTGGGGGCCCGACGTTGGCCGACATCGGGAAAGGTAGTGGTGGTTGTAAAACAAAGAGAGAGGTGGCGCTAGAAGGGGAGATTCTTGGAGGAAAGGGGAAGGTCATGGAGGACAAGCACACAAGGGACTTACGTGGTGGCCGCCAAGAAGAGCTCCATCATGATATGTTCGGCGGCAGGCCTTAGTGGAAGCAGCACAGCACTCTGTGGTGCTGTACTCTGGGGTCGTCTAGTGGCTGGAGTAGATCATAGTGTAGGTTGTCCTTGCCTGCTGCTGGTAGATAGACGAGCAAGCACCGGCAGCTGGTATTGTTGTGGTTGTAGGGAGGGACCTTTTTTCACAACCCCCCATCGACCCGCCTCTTCTGAGTGAGAGGAGAACTGAGAAATATCTGGTTCAGCAAACAAGATCAGACTCTAACGAATTCCCGGCCAAGCAGCAGGCCTCAACTTCCCAACTAACCAATCGATCCACGAGAAGGGGACTTCTCTGCATCAAAGAGACTTCTTCAACGTTGTCTGCTCTTCTGTTGGTGAGATCATTGCTTCACTGTGTCCGATACTACTTTCTTAAACCACTAGCACCTCCGCCAGTGTTGGGAAAACTTCAAAACTCCTAAACAATCGGAGGCCGGGCTCGACGACGGCTCCCATTGATAAATCTGATCGGCAGCCGTCGTTTCGTTTCAGCCTCCTAAAAGGTCGGAGGCCCACCCGAGGCCCACGATTTTCCCACTCGGCGACGGTACTAGTGGTTTAACCCAAAGAAAAACGTACTATTCAACTTACCGCTGAAAATATACCTTTTCTTGGTGCTTTGGCTAAAAATAGATCAAGTGTAGTATCAGTTGATTCGTGATCAGTTTAATACCTGCTCCGTGGACCGCCAAAAAAAAAAAAAAAAAAAAAAAATCCCGCAAAAACGAGGTTTTAAGAAATAGCTTTTTTAAAGTTCTTTTCCAAATAGAATGTACATTTGAATACAAGTTGTACAACGTACGTACATTGCAATACAGACAACTTTTGTCTTAGGGTCCTGTTGAAATTTGCAACCAAACTCGAGGGGGAAAAAAAAAACGGGAACAAGAAATATTTTTTATTGGCAGAGACATTCTGTCTTTTGATTTTTTTTAATTTTTCATAATTTCCCCTGGGATTACGAACGGGCCTAGCTCAGTTCGTGCAGCCATCAACTATCGAAATAGAGACCCAAGCTCGAATCCAGATGCAATCAGATGAGCAGAACAAAAACATTCTGAATTACCTGGGGAAGGTCAGTTCAATGATAATATATTTAACCAAAAAAAAAAAAAAAAAAGGAATAAAAAATCCCCCGAAAAAATACAACGTAAGACATTCAGACTCTCAGCGACTTCTCCCTTTTTCACTGGATTTCGGTGGATGGGACACAAAGCAAGCACTAAAGGGCCTAAAGAAAATTACAACATAAGACAAAAGGAACGACGCCAGTAAGCATCCTTCGGGAATCCGTTAAGATTGGAATGACACAGAGAAGATTAGCATGGACCCTGCACATTTAAAAAAAAAAAAAAAAAAAAAACACAGGAAAGAAGTTCAAAAAACAAACAAACAAACAAATAAAGAATGCCAGTAAGCGAACTGAGACACGAAGATGACAAGGGACTTTGCAGCAAATGCACGGTCAAGTTCTACTGATCTCTCTTTCTGTACGGAACAATCAGTATAGAAGAGAATGACAACCAACAGCGGAGGACGATGGATACAAACGATGTCCACAGCCAGTAAAGCAGTTGAGCTGCGTCAGCAGTTGAGAAGTGGGAGAGGAGAAGTGGGAGAGGAGAAGTGGGTTGGTCTCTCTCAGTTGAGAAAAGAGACTAAATTAATGTCATTGATGTGTCCAGTAGATCAGATCGTTTGTAAGCTGCTTCTGTTTCATTCATGCCAGTGGTGGATGATACTTTTAGCTACACTTAAACCACCAGTACTTGGTCCAGCTATCGGCCGCGGAAAAAAATACAGTAGAAACATTTCTAATCGGGCGCTTCTGTCCTCGCCCGTACGTTTCCTAAAGTCGCAGCTTGGTTACGGACACAACTTTCGGCAATACTGGTGGTTTAAAGCCGAGAGCATATTTGACTTGATTTGACTTGATTGAAAAAAAACTGCACTGTGACAGAAATATCCATCATGACAAAAATAGCCCACGCCACGGTGACAGAAATCGCCACCGTGAGTGTCATCACAGCAATTCAGTCATCTGCTACTTTTTAGTGGTTCAGCCACGAGCACATTTCCCAAGCCATTTTTGTTCTACGACATGGCAGTGCTCCCGCTGCGTCTGGCAGGATATACCGGCCTACGGTGAGTCTCATCACTGCAATTCAGTCATATGCTGCTACATTCAGTGGTTACAAGCCACCAGTACGTTTCCAAGCCAGTTTTCTACAGCACGGCAGTGTTCCTGCGGCGTCTTGCAGGATGTACTGGCCTGCCCGTTCACGAAACATACATCCTGACAAAATGCGCCGTGCATGCTACTATACATTTTGCCCTGCGAAGTATATTTTATTATTTTCTGAAGCGGTACATCCTCCCAGACGTGGCGTGCGCAGACGTGGCGTGCGCACTGCCGCCCTATAGAAAAAAAATAACTTGGAAATATACTGGTGGCTTAAACCACCAGTTCATCTGGAAAATTCGAATGAGCCTCTCCGAAAAGTTAAGGGACTTGGGACAGGGCCCGTCTGGGGGCAGGTGGAATTCTTTTTTTTTTTTTTGCAGGCCTGGACCTAGTGCCACCCACACCATGGGACAATGATATTTTTTCTACTGGCCCTTCGGACGCCCTGAACCGTGCCTCCGAAATTTTAGGAGAGGCTCAATCGGATTCTGAACTGGGCTGGGGCCATGTACTGGTGGTTTAAAGCGCCGGTACGGCGGACCGTAAATTGCCTAAACTGATGTTTTTGGGCCCGAATGGGAACCCGTCCCTGCCATGCTGGTACGTCAAAAGTGCAACCTCCTTGTATACTGCCGGGAGTCTCGGAACAGGGGGCTCGCTCGAGCTGGTGGTTTAAGAAAAGCCTTACAGTTTAAGAATGTGAGCGTTACCTTCACGGAGGGAGGCATCTGCAAGTTCAAAGCTCGAGCAAAAAAAGCCAGAAAAATAGCATCAATATAAATCCATAAATCAATCAATTACAGATAGAGGGCAACAACGTTACCTTAAGACCTTGACTTCCCTGAGGAAGGTAACTGTCTCTTTTCACCCAAGCAAAGGCATCCAAGTGACAACAGCATTTACTACGGCACTCGCCGGCCTTGGCGTCGTGACGAAACCCAATCTCCTGAAAACAGAATTCATATGTATCACATCAGCTTTAAAGTTTGCCTAAAAGTTTCATCACAGAGCATGAAACTAATCGATTTGCAAACAAGTCTCACAATCAGCTTTATAAGTTTGACCGAAATCCAATAAACAGCATTAAACTAAAAGATTTTGGAGCCAGGAAGTTACTAGCCTGGTACCGGGACGAACCGACACCAGGGCTGGATCATCTTTTCGAACTGCGAGGACTTCTAGGGGAAGCAAGTTTGTTTTGAAGTTGACACGGCACCTATAATTACACTACGTACGATGAGTTAGTCCTCTTACAGTTTGCCCGCGATCCGGGAGCGCTAATAGCGTTAGCGGACTACGGGTATTGGGATCAGTGGAACGTTCCGTGGTTCCTGGGTGTGTGGACTGATAAGCTGTACCATAATTTCCTAATGAATTGTACTTTGTCAAATAGCTCGTCCATGATCCTTGTCTCGTTGACTAGTTATAGACTTACTCGGCGTGGTATGTGTGCTCTGCATGTCACATGTGAGTGTTTCCATCTACACTAAAAGATTTGCGCCGTGACTGAACCTGATGTCCAGAAAACGGAACTCGTTTATATCACAACATCAGCTTTGAACTCCAACAACAACAACAAGAAAAAAGACGATGAAGAAAAAGAAGAAGAAGAAGAAGAAGAAGGCATCAACGACGACCGCGACAACGACAACGACGACGACGAAGAAGAAGAAGGCATCAACGACGACCGCGACAACGACAACGACGACGACGACGAAGAAGAAGAAGAAAGGAGAAAAGGAGGAGAGAAGAAGACGAAGAAGAAGAAGAATTAGATGCACACAAAACGAAAGGAAGACTCTGAGGAGACATCTCCGAAGAAAAGAGAGCAGGTGGAGGAATTTACAGGCGTTCAAAGAGAGCAGGTGGAAGAAGTAGATGCCAAACCGAAGATATCGCTCTGTAAATAACAAGCGAGCTTACAAAAAGGAGGGAGATGAGAACCAGCGCAGAGTTCAAAGAGGTGATTAGGTCCTTACATCGTACATCGTCATCCCATGCACCTTAGCACGGGTTTCTATGAAAGGCCAATCAAAAAAGTCACCGTTATACGTCACATATACACCAGGCTTGAGCTCCCTCATGTGATCAAACCATTTCCGAAGCACAGCTCTCTGCAGGACACCACATTTCCACACAAAGTGATCAAAATTTAAAACTTCAGACAATGAAAAACGAGGGAGGAAGAACAAAAAAAAAAAAACATATTAGCCACTTGCTCAAGCAACTCAAGCCCATTATTATCCAATTAAAAATGAAGCACAACCTGCCCTAACAAGTTGCAAAAAATACCAAACATGAAAAATAAATATTTGCACAGCTCAATATTTATTATTTAGACTTAAAAGTTAAAAGACTAATATATTTGTGCAGCTATATATAAAAGAATAAAATATTTGCACAGCCAAATATTAAAGAATAAAATACAGCTGAATACTAAAGAATAAAATACAGCTGAATACTAAAATCAAAGTGTACTGTAGATTGCCCCAGTCAGGACATAGAGCATGCCCACTTGGATGCAAGCCACTTGCTCAAGCAACTCACGCCCATCATCCAATTAAAAAATTAGCGCAACCTTCCCAAAAAGGGTTGCAAATAATACCAAAAATTTAACAAAATATTCGCACAGGTAGATATTAAGAAACGAAATATTTGCACAGCTAAATAATAAATATTAAAGAACAGCATATTTGCACAGCTGAATATATTAAAATCAAAGTGTACTGTAGATTGCCCCAGTCAGGACATAGCACGCCCACTTGGATGCCAGCCACTTGCTCAAGTAACTCAAGTCCGTCCTTTATGAATTAGAAATTTAGTACAACCTGCCCAAAAAAAATCGCAAATAATACCAAACATTAAATAAAATATTTGCACAGCTAAGTATTGGAGAATAAAATATTTTCAAAGCAAAATATTAAGAATAATATTTGCACATCTAAAATATTTAGGCAGCTAAATATTTCAATAAAATTGTATTGTAGATTCCCCCAGTCAAGAAATAGCACACCCACTTGGATGTCAACCTGCCCACGCAGCAGTGGCCTCCACGAACCAACCAGTTCCAAACAGGATGAATGATGACAGAAAAGAGCGCCAGGAACAGTTTGCATCTTTTGCAGTAATACTTGGAATTCTACACAGAGACTCGGTGGTACCAGGGGGAAGTGGCTTAGGAAGTAACCCCACCTCATTTGCAACATTGAAGACTTTGAATGGGCCCGGGAACTCCGGCTTGGGGGTGTACTCTAAGTCCTCGATATCCTCACCGACCACCTGCAGCAACTCGCAAAAAAAATCGCGGAAAGAAGAAAAAAAAAGGGAAACTGCATATCAGGACTTGATCCATTTGCTAATTTTGCTGCCATAGTCGAACGCTTCTGAACCAATCACTTTTTAAAAAAAAATTCCCCTTTCTTTCTTTCTTTTACACAGAGAATAGAGAGTCGGCTATAGTGATCCGAGGGCCTGTGTTTCTTTTTTGTTATTATTGTGCAAAACTGGTGACAAAAACTCCTGGCAGATTCACGTTGCCTGAGCCGCAACTCCATAAAAAATCATTTAAGAAAAAACTTCGAATTAAAGTTTAGAAAACTTGTGTTTCGGGACATCCATTAAAATTGGAACAATACGGAGAGAATTAGCTGGTCCCTGTGCATGGATAACACGCATAAATCGAGAAATGGCTCAAGTTTGAAATATATATATATATATATCAAATACTAATTATAATTTATAATTATTAAAAAAAAAAAACTTAGCAAAAACGGGCAGCACAAAGGCCACGGCAAAAGTGGCCCAAGAGAAGACAAATCGACAGGACATAAAGGGCCTCGCTCCACTACTCTCCAAATGTCCAAACCGAGAATGAATCTTCCGCTAGAACATAGAAAGATACAGCGCCATATTTTTTGTATTTTGTGCATGTGGAGAGTAGTGGAGCAAGTCCTTCGGGACATCCGTTAAAATTGGAACGATACAGAGAAGATTAGCATGAAAAAAAAAAAGAGAGAGTAGTGGAGCAAGGCACAAAGAGATGAATTTTTCTCGTCTCTGCACTTCGATTTGTCGTGCAAAATTAAAAAAACAAAATTCATGTTTGAGACAGTTTGACCATACAGTTATCCCTACGTTTCCGGTAACAAAAAGTCTACAATTTGGATTCTGCAACATGTCCTTGGGAACGAACCTCACGATTGATAATGAGATAGCCTTGCGCATCGATCATGTATGAAATCATCATGACTTGATCGTATGATGCATCAGGAAACTTCAACGGCAGCTTCGTCGTTTCGATATCAAAGGCGCATATCCGAAGCTCAGCTCGCTGCAGAATATCGGCACGTCTCTCCATTTTCATTTGGCCTTCATCTGACGATACAGTGAACCACTGCCCACATCGAACATCTGCGGAGGCAACAAAAAAAGTTTCAAAAACAGTGTAAATAATGCCTGGAGGAAGGCACAGAACACCAGGCTACCAGCCAGGCCGCCCCGGTCACCTTGTTTGCCCGGGCTGCCCCGCCGTGCAAGGACCATAGAGGGTCCCAACAAAAATAAGAAAAAAAAACATCCAAAATTTTAAAATTCTGAAAAAAAAAATTATTATATGCAGAAAAATAAACTGAACCAGGGTTACCCACCTGAACCTTTGGGGGGGTCTCCACCCACCCCCCGAATATTCTGGGTCCGGCCAAACGTTAGGGCGCCGAGTTTCCCAAAGTTTGGCCCCCACCAAAAATCATTTTGGGGCCTAAATCATTTTGTAGCATATAGGGTACATGCTTATAAATTTTCAGGGCATTTGGATGATCCAAAAAAAAAAGACAAATCACCAAACATGGCGATCTCAAAAATGTGCTCGCCCAATCACTATTTTTTTTTTTCCTTTTCCATTTTAATGTGTGTGTATATCGGTGTGGTAGTGTGTATG